AATATTTGAAAATTAGTTAGTTTTGAATTATTAGTTGATAACCGTTTGAGTTGGCATAATTTTGTTTGCTCTGTTGGTGTTATTCACATGTGTGTTGCACATGTCTTTTAATAAAATAAAATAAATCTCTTACACCTATGCATTCAAGAAAAGTTCTTTCACGCTTGTAGTTACTGATAGCTGCACAACAGTTCTAGTTGAATTCAGGTTGTTCTTAGATCTTGTGTTTGCGAGGATGTTTTGCTTTCACTATTCTCAATTTTACAGAACAATGGCGAAATCAAGTCAGAGTCAGTCAATCAATCAAATCAACAGAAAACTACAGGTGATGAACCGAATAAGGAAATCTCTGATCAAGAAGAAATTAAAAAAGAACCATCATCATAGTTTTTACGTTTTCTCGTCATGCACCTCATTTTCTGTGGCTTTCACTTGTACAAATAATAAAGATGGATCTCTAGTTTTTCTTCATTCTGATTGGAATTGGTATAATTTTCCATTTGATATCTGTATGTTAATGATTTTCTCAAAGTGGTCCTTATTACCTTTTTTAAGGTACTTAAGTTATGGGGCGTATATATGCCCTTTTAACTGGCCCTCGGTTATATAGAGTATTCGGCCAGCCAGAACGTCAACCAAATGTCGTGGAGTCCATAGGAAATTATTCGATGTCTCTTGGAAGAGGTACGATCATTTATGGCTACTCCCTCTTCAACTCTTAGAGCTACGAAGTCTATTTTCAGGTTTATTTTATTTTTCGACTTCACTAGCATTTTCTCCTGTAATTCTGATCCTCCTTTACACTCGAGGAGCATTAAACATTCATACTGGTTTGGTTGTTTTGAAATATGCGACCTATTTAGCTGTGCTAGCATATGGCGGAAGGTGATCGGTCTTGTCGTTCTTGGCATAAATCACTAAGTTTTTTTTTCATAATTGGACCTTTAAGGCTCGTCGGCAGGACCATGGATCATGAATATCGGCATTTTATTAATGTGTGGTTAAAAGCAAAAGGCTCTGGCAAATCTGAGGATAATCAAGTTAGTTTTCGAGCGCGCCAAAGCTCTTAATCTTTCGCTATAAATAAATATGGTTGTTGATGTTTTTTTTTTTGCTATTTGTTTTCAAGTACAGTGGGATCACAGGAGATGATATTTTTTATCGGAAATCCAAATCCAATCCAATCCAATAATGTGGGCCGCAACTGAAATTGTAGCACTCACTAGAACTCACCTAGGAGAAATTAGTGCCCAATTTCGTAAAATTTTCAAGGTTAACAGGGGTGCTTAAAGTACAGAAATGCGCAACACCGCCCCATGTAACGTAAGCGAAAAATATTCTCTTCTTGCTCTAGGCGAACTGCTTTCAGACGTTTCGCTAAAAATTCTCATCTGTTCTAGTGCGAGCATACAACAAACACGGGCATTTCTGTCTTCTCCAAGAGTCTTAATGAGTGTTGCAATGTCTTTATATATTTCACTACATATTACTGTTCTTACAAGCTTGTCTGTTTTGATAGTTTTCCTGAATTGTTGTTCACAAATCTTAATCGAAATTGGGCATCAGAATACAACAATCAAGACAAACAAGCTAGAAGGAACAGTGAATAGTAAAGCATAGAGAATTCGTCTGTTTCTTTTTTAGCAATTATATTTAAAGGCGCTCAAGCGTTACGATTTCGATCTCGAAGGTGTTAATGCCGACTTTCACGCTGTTCGAAATGAAAATTTATACTTCCATCGAGGATCTTCTAGAGACGGTTAGTGGCGTAAGCTGATTATTTTCTATTTTTGTTACACTTTTGCTTTCTTACTTCAGGTAGTCCGCTGGTAGTGTGCGCAGCCTGGTATGCAGTCCACGCTTTCGGTCGGCACATGCTTTATCCGGGATCCGTATCGCTCTTGAATTGGCTTTTGGGTGGAAGTTTGTTGTCGGCGAGAAATTTGATGGTTTCTGCGAAGGTAGGTTTGGTTATTCTAATAGGTTGGTTGTTGCTCTCTATATCAAGTTATTCAGCAAGGCAAAAGGGCCTGGTTGAGAACCACTGAAGGCGACCTCATCGATACGATGTATATACGTGGAGATGATACTCCCGAGCATAGGTGAGCTATTAAGCGCTTTGGAGGATCATAATCGAAGATGTTGGTATTTAGAGACTACTCGTTGGACATGGTTTTGTCGTCATGATTTTTCCTCATTATTTTTCCCTTTTTAAATTTTTTCCCTTACTATCGAAAAACTCGTGCTGCAATCTTTGTATCTCCTTCTCAATGTTTTTTTTTATTACGATCCATTCCATTTCACTATTCATTATTTCACTTATACTTGCCGTTTCAGAAATCGCATACTAGTTATTACTTGCGAAGGAAATGCCGGTTATTATGAGATAGGGATTGCCAATACCCCAGCTCAGATGGGATACTCTGTAGGTTCCTTTCTTGAATTTGCAATAAACATTTTTCTGTATGTTATGCTCTTTTTTTCATAGGTTCTTGGCTGGAACCAACCAGGTTTTGGACAAAGTTCAGGTCTTCCTTTCCCTAATAACACATTGGCTGCTGCAGATGCTGTTATGCAGGTAGCAAATTATTTTTCAGACTTCTGACTAGCTACAAAAATTTACTGTTCAGTATGCTCAAAGTGAGCTCGGGTATCATGAAGAAAATATCGTTTTGTTCGGCTGGTCGATTGGAGGATTCCCTGCCAGTTGGCTGGCTGCTAACTATCCAAGTTGGTTTTATATTTTTTGGATCCCGCCCTACATTTTCGGAATACAAAATATCTTGTACTTAATATAACAAGTCACTGGTGTTACTGAGTAGCCTTGTTGTTAGGATTATTGTTGGAGTTTACTCTAGCAACAAACGTCGACACAGCATGGTGGTCGAGGAAAGGTTCTAGATTGCTTATGACTTCTTATACATTTTCGAAGTGCTGCTCGTAGATCGCGCATGGTCATAAGTTCAGATTTGAATCTTTTACCAAATTGGTAAATTATATTGCCATACAGATGACCATTGATTGCTTAAGACAATGTTGTAAAGTAATTTCCCACTGAAAGCCAGTAATGGCGTAGTCTTTGTAAAACTTCGAAGTTTTATTCTAGATGTGAAAGCGGTTATACTCGATGCGACCTTCGACGATGTTCTGCCGCTGGCTCAAGCCAGGATGCCAAAGGTTCGCGTTTTGCGAGCTTGCCTAAACTATCTTTTCTTTGCTCTTTTCATATTATTGATTTCAGGTGCTCTCCGATGTCGTTAAATATGCTATAAGAACCCATTTCGATCTTAATATAAAATCCATCGTAAGTACATTCTTTTGAGTGTTGAAAACTGTAAATGTGTGATTTTCTTGTTCATTGAAGATCGCAAAGTATAAAGGGCCTCTGAAGCTCATTCGTCGACTACAGGAAGAAATTCTAACCACAGATGATACTGGGACGGAAGCACAGCGTCGAGCCAGCAACAGGTCCGTCACTTGACATAGTTATTTTTGAACATTCTACCCTAAATTGCTTTTCAGGGCCAACTTCTTACTAAAAAGTGTTATCCAACAACGGCATCCAGCGCTTCTGGTCGATCTTGATTCGCAGGTACACAGCCTCTTCAAGAAAGGATTTATTCCAAGCGAGAATGCTCACATGTAGACGATTATTCAGAATGGCTGGGAGCTCAGTTACTTTACCATGAGAAAACCCGTAGTAGAGCTATGTCGGACCAAAAGGTCTTAGGCATAGAGTTTGCTTCCTAGCTAGGTAGTTCATTCAGTATTTTTTCGAATTCTCGAAAGGGATGCCATTGTGGTTGGCTAGAGCGGGCTGGGTGGGAAACTTTTCTGACGAGCAACTTTTTCTTCCAAACCTTGGCGGTTCACCGGGGGTTACAAAACAATCGAGTTGACAACCGTACAGCACAAGTCATCATAGGGGCTGAACACGCTCCTATTTCAGAGCATATTAAATTGCTTTGATTGGCCCGAAAAGATCGGTTAAAGCCATTTACTACTTAGTTAGTATTACTTAGTCGTCAAAATTCTTTTTTTGGCAATAGCATCCTACGTTTCAGGTTGATCGTTGGCTAGCAATGACTCCACAACATCGGGCCATGGCTGCGCATCCGAAAAACGATGCTGAAATAACTATACGCCGCGCACGGCTGTTTGCCGCTTGCGATCACTACCTCGTCGATTTTGATGCTACTCATGTGCAGCCGCTAGATCCAGGGTAAGAATCACCGAATATAAAAAAAGCTGTCATCGGTTGAGGGTGAATAATGTTTACCACTGTTATTTTTGGCAGTTTCCCTTGTCTTCGGGGGTGTAGGAAACATGAGATACAATAAGGATAGGAGAGAAGTAAGAAAATTTTCAAATGCAAAGATATGTTGTATTGAGATGACCAAAAACGCTCAAAATAACTTTGCTGGAAAGTACGTCGCGCCCTATGTAGTCTTTCCTACCTCTAAGTGGACGTGTTGATGGATCATTGTGGTTGAGCTTATGATTCGATTCTGAGTTCGTGAGTATATATTGCGCCACTAGACATTGCGCCATCTCCGCCCAAGCAGCTCCGACGAGGGAGGAAAAGCTCACTCTATCGTTAGGCTGTACACTAGGAAAATTTTCTCCTCGTCATACGGCCTTGATATCAGTTCCATTCACGAGAATGTGGTTTTGGGAAAATGGGATGGAGAAGAGGGGCTCGGTTTGGTTGCATTCGGTGTCAGTGACTTCGACAAAACTGAAATATTGACTATTTGAAAACCACTTTACATTGTATGTGTACTTAAACTGTGCTTTCAGGTACTTCAACATTCCTGAGCCGATTCGCGATCTCAAATAGAAACTTGTAATGGTAAAAAGATATTTTGGATGGTCAACCGTGTAATTAATGCTTTACTAAGGTGTAAACATTCGTACTTAAAGTAGAATAGCAATAGTCTCCTGATTTATGTTTGTTCGTAATTGATTAATGGCCAAAAGCTTCTGTGATTGCCCAATTGTGTAGTCAATATATTTGTATGTGTTGGGAATGCTGATGACGGATGCATTCGTCTTACGGTCACTGTATCTCTTTCCGAAGTCTTATGGCAAACGTACACTCGTATTTTATCTGCTATGATATATAATAAATAAAGAGAAATAAATTAGCAGCTCAGGTATAAAATGGATCTATTTAAAACGAACTTAGCGGCAATCTCATAGTATCAGTCAAGCCGGGTCCACCTAACTCATCATCAAATGAAAACAGGATTCTAAGGAACGCTATCTGGTCGGAAAGCGGCTTACATAGGGCGTAACAGGCTCCAAAAAGCTGCTTAGCGTGGAATAAACTCAAGGCGGATAAGTTCTCCTGACGTTGTAGAGGCTGTAGAGGTTGCACCATCATCACCAAAACGCACTTGTTCGCTCACACAGTTAGCTTACTGTAACCAGCTGTGCGCAATCGCTCACACTTGCGGACGACTCGTCCAAATTCCCTTCCTCGCAGTTTTTGTTATTACATTCTCGTTCCCATTTTACTACTTTTTGGGAGGTTTCCATTTCCTTTGATACGCCGATTTTCGCGTTTTGTCGCCACTATTACTATAAAGTTTATTCTTACTTAACGTGCTCTGGGAAAATATCTAAAACGGCGGTATTTGGCTGTTCCTCCAATCGGTTCGCTTTAGATTAGGACTTGTTATAGGAAGACCATGTCAAACAGTAGATGAAGTCAGGGTCAGATTTCTACCTCTTTCTCTAGCGACGCACTCTGAGGCTGTTCAATAGGAACGTGCTCAACAGCTGAAGTTCAACTAGAAGCCTCATCATCATTTTTCACCGTGCGCCCGCCTCTTCGACATCNCTCTCTCTTCTGCTTTGACTAATCTTTCAGAGATTTGGTATCTACGCATTCAGGGCTCCTGACGCAGAACCTTCAGTAATTTAACAAATACTCAGGTGAAGCTGCCACATCAGGTGAAGCTGCCACATCAGGTGAATGGGGGATAGCGATTGAAGGAGCAGAACTCATTGACTGAAATTGACGTCGCGTACGAACATTGGAGCAAAAACGGAAAGTCAGATGTTTCTAATGAAGATTTGTTGTGGTTCATATACTCTGAGCACAGAAAGAGGCCATTCAGACACTTTTTTCAGGGACGCCAAAGGAAAATTCTGGAGCCTGCTTGAGCCATTATTCGAGAGATGGAGAGGTAGAGAATATGAACGATAGTTAGCAATAGTTTGAGTTTGTGAAGAGGAAATGCTAATTTTCTCAAAACCAGCGATCAGCAATGCTAGACACAGATGTGGCCATCCTCATTTTTCTCACTTTTTTCCACTGATGCTTATTCATTTAATGAAGACCACCCCTAACTGCTATCGGCTCTGCAGTGTCGGCAGCTGGCGGCCTCGAGGATCTGGTCAAGCGACAGTGAGTGTCCCAAGTTTCGCTCTCAGTAGGTGTCCAGTCCTTCTACGAACTTCAGTAAAGGTTTTCAGGCACTTCTGGGTTGCTTTGATTCTTTCGGGCTTCGAACTAATGAGGTCTAACAGTGGACTCAGGCTTGGGGGGAGGGGGAGCATGTAAGACTTCCTGGAAAGCTAGCGAGCTAGGACCCTCGAAAAGGCGTCCACTGCGATTAATTTTAAGAATTCGAGGGGATGTAGGAGTCACCAGCAACACCCCGACTTCCAACCTTCTCAGGATTCAGTCGGTTTAAAAAACAAACCCTATACAGAGTTTTCACTTCATTTCAGGTCCCAAATAGACTCGTTTCTTCTATTTGTTTGTTCTCTCATAGGGAGAGCAGTGTGATCGCTAAATGATGGCGTGTTCGTGTTCAGATCATCGGTCTTCCTTGTTCTTTATCGGCATCGTCCCTCCTGCTACTGCTCCTCCTCCTCCACCTCCTTGCGCCTCTTTGATGCTCTGCGGCCGAGTCAGTTGCTTGGCAAATCACGGCGGTGATGCGATGTACCCAGTTCGATCTTCTTCTTCTACTATATTCTACTGTTCACTTCTCCAGGTAGACGATGCTCGTCATTTTATGACCTTTTTTTTCATCAAACTTCCACAAGTCACGAATGAAAATTCGATTTGATTTGATCTCTCGTTCAATAGGGTTTCGAACTATTGACGTTCACTTCAGCACTCGCACACAACCGATTCCATTTGATTCTTCACAGAATTTTTTTTTTTT